AAAATAGATGTTGATTCTTTTTAAATCAAAAAACCATTTTATTCAAAGAAATAGAAAGTCAGGAATGAAATTATTTTAAATATTCGTTATTTAATAGAAGTCCACCAGTCAAAATTTGAATGGAATTATTCTGATTTAACTATTTTTGTACGACGATGCTCTGTATTATGTAAACCCATGAATTCACATTTTTCACATAAATTAATTCCACAAGTACATTTATAACGAATACCAATAAGCGGTTTCATAAAACATGAATTACGTTGGTTATTCTTATGATTGATTTTATTATGATTATTTAAATAAACTGACTTTGGATATTCACTGGAATCTTTAATACATAATAATGGATGATTATATTGATGATTCGAATTATGATTTGTTCTACTAATAGATTTACATGATTGACAAAGATCAATATCGGGACAAAATAAACATTTGTAACGATCTTCTTTTATTGGTGACATATCACATCCATCACACGTCACATATAAATGAATATTCGTATTTAAATTTTGATTATTCGTTACTGTATTGTTTGAAATTTGTTGAATATCATCATTGAAATTCACTTTGCATACATCGATCATTTCTTGATTACTACTCTATCATAATGTAACAATTTCTTTTTGTTGATTTGATTGTCCATAATATTTATAAATATGTACCATGATTGTCCTTGTACCAGTTAGACTTTGTTGATGATTAGCAAAATATTTTGCTCGAACTATATATGTACCTTTGACTACCTTTCGAACAAAATATTCTTCCGGTCCATACCCTTGTGTAAAATCACGACTTATCATACCACTAATAACTGTATCTTTGTGAGAATAATAACATTCTTCACCTGTCGGTTCGATGACATGTAAATCAAGATCTGTATCATTTGTATCTCAAAGCATAACAATTCTTAAGTCAACAGGTAAATGACGAATAAGACAATTATCAATCGAATTCAATACTTATTGTTGTTGATGAAATTGAAATATGAAACGATTCAATTCATGCAATGTTGTAACTTCAATTTCTGAATAAGGTTTTTTCCATTCACCAAATATAACTTTCTTACATAGATCTGATATTTCTACAAGGTTCTTTGTTTCAGAATTAGATTCTTGTAATAATAATGCTAGATCTCGAAATGATTGTGGCTCCTCTGATCTCAAATTTTTGATATATCGAAAAATATTTTCAGCTAAATTGTAAAGACCAAATTCAACAAGCTTATAAGCAACAGTTCGTAATAATTGTATTGATTCCAATTCTAATTCTAAAACATTCGTAAGAATACGTAAACCGATATATTGATATTCATTTGAAATATTACAATTTGATTGTGCATAATGTTGACTAAATGCATCAACTGATGATTGTTTTGAATTTGAAGAACGAGCTTGTAAGAAAAAATATGATGCTATATCAAAATAAAATGATGGTGATTTGGAATAGTGAGTGCTAGGCATCTGTAACAATAAATGAAAAAATCTTGCACTTTTGAAACGAATATCAGATTCAGACAGTAAATATTTCATTGAAAGTGTTTTTTGGGTATGTACATCCATAAGAATTCCTTTCAGAACTCCGAAGTTCGCTTTCATTCAAGCGTGTTCCAAAAAGTATAAGAAGCATTCTTTTTGTGTAATGCAAAACGTACTATATATGTCATAGGATAGGTCATAAAGTAAGAGCAGCTGAAAAACTGTGAGTATAGTTTCTAACTTCAATAATACAATCATTATTAGTTATTTGAAAAGTGTTTTAATAAGCGACGTTGTCATCTCACTCCTGTTAGTCAATAATTCCGCTGACTTGAATATTTCCTTACCAAGTGTTCCGCCTTCACCATTTTTATCTGGAATATTCGCTATATTGAATGCGACAGTTGGCGCAATATAGATCAATTCATTAATTGCATCTTGTTTAACAGGCAAATCTAAATATGAATATCTCAGAGTTGCCATAATCATCGGACGACAAACTCTTAGAACTAACGCATGCGTTTCATGTGTACACTGTTCCAGCGTTAACTTCGTACGATATAAATCTTTCAGTTGTGGGCAAATATCATTGAGAATATTTTCCAATTCATAGATATATTGATGATAGAAATATTCTGCAAGAATATTTGATGTTTGGCCAACAATTTCTTCCAATTCAATACTTAGTCTTTCGCGCAGCTCATTGTCGGTCGGATGTGAATTTAACTGAAGTTTTGAATAGCAATGTGCCTCAAACATCAGTCGTTCAATTGGATATGTACGTTTACGAAATTCTTCAGTGAGATCGAGAAAAGAGTCATGAAATTTTTGTTTAACATTATCGACAAATTTTGTACGTTCTTTGGTGACGATAGTTGTATGCCAGTGATTCGCTTTGGCGAAGGTAGGTTGAAATATATTTTCATAGAAAATTTTGTCCCAATTCTCTGTGTTATGTTGTTTAATATACTCGTCAATTGACGTCATAGCCAGATTCTGTGACCAGAGTTGATTTTGTTTGATTGTATCAAGTCGTTCCAACACATGTCGAACTAATCGCATTCGTCCCAAATCAACTAGCTGTTTCAAATGTGTTTTTGGTAATTCAAATTCAATAAATTTATTGAGACCATTTTTACTTCGTGTAAATCCCTGTTCCAAATCATCACCAAAACTATGTAGTTTATGATTAATAAGACGAAATTCTTCCGAATTTTTATCCACAGTTTGCATCCGTGGACAGGCAGCATAAATACGTTCTGGTTTAAAATGTTTATCAATGAGTTCAGTAGAAGCTTTTTCATAATGTTCTTGATAGATTGTCGGAGTTTGACAGAGGTCAAGTTTGGTAATGATACCGAACGCACGTTGCATTGCTTCAAAGTGATTTTGTTGAATTTCGTGGAGAAGACAGATCTGCGGTTCAGTCAGACTTGGTTGTTGACCGTTGGTAAGAAAAAGGAAAGCGTCAGCAGTTTTTATTGCTTGTAAACCGGCATCACGATGTTCTTTAATGGGGGAGTCAAAACCAGGAACATCTAGAAGTTCGTAGTTCTTACCTATCAAATACAAAAGAAGAGGCCCAAATTAGCACAAACACAGCGGATCTAGTCTCTAGTACTTAGATATTGTTAAAATGGAATAGATTATCAAGCATGGCAAAGGTAAGCATGCAGTGGTTTTGAGATTAACAGGTATAATTGTCAAAATGTGAGGCTTTAGCATGTTTACTGATTTTGCAGCTTTATTGACTTCAAACTATCGATCGCGTGATTACGTGGTTCGAAATTTTCGAAAGCGGAGTGCTATATTGTTTGAAAAGCAGTTTGTATGGTTATTAGCTATTTTTAACCAACGACAGGTGAGCATAATGTAAGAAAAGTCAAATCGTTTCTACCCATGGGAACTCCGTTAAAAATTTTTGCCTTCAAAACAAGCGTTTTAGTCGTTTTTAACCATTTAGAACTGAAATTTCATGAAATTCGAATTATAGAGAATTGAAAATCGCGATTAAAATCGACTGGCTCGGTGATTCTCAGTCCTTTCTGAGGATATCTAAAAGAGTTCGATCCTCTTCTTTACTACATACCTGGTAGCTTATCCGTATAAATTGCAATTTCTTTAATAATATTTACATACAATTCTCCAGTTATATAATCATGTAAATGTTTAATAATAGCCATACGCTCTCTATTTGCATCATTTAGGCTACTAATACGAAAATGTTCTTCTGGAAATTTAGCTTTCAACATTTCTCGTTTTTGGATGACCTGTTCTTTACGTTGTTGCAATTCTTGTAGATTTTCATCTGTTTTCTTTGTCATTTTATCAAAGAATAAATGAAACTCTTGATCATCGTAAAACTTGACAGCGGCAAACAGCTGGGGATCACCATTTTCAAGAGGTGGTTTGAGCACGGTACGTATCTGTGTACATCGCTCACACGCCGTTGGCAAAAGTTCATAACCAAGAAGCGCATTGATAAATGTCGATTTTCCAGCTTTTTCTAAGCCAACAATGCAGATGGTATATGATTGCTTGTCATTCAACTCCTTCAATTTTAATATATTTTTCTTTATATCATAGATATAATTATTAGAAGCACTAGCTTTGGTTTCTTTATCAACAAATTCTAAGCATTGTAAAATTTTAACATATTGTTGAACTAATATGTTGAATTTTTCTTTCATTTCATCTCTTGCATTGTGATCAATTTTCTGTAAATAATTATTCAATTCCTGAAATGATTCAGTTGAGAGTATGGTATCACGTGCTTTTTCCAGTTCCTTGTATGCACCATAGATTTTACGTATTCGATCGTGATTATCATATTTGATATTTGTTAGTTCGTGATTTTGCCATTTTTCACCTAATTTATGTTTAAAATGGTCACGCTGCTGAAGAAACTCACTGAGGAGTTGTTGAAGCCAACGATCGACTAAGAGTTAAAGAGACGAAATAAATAGAAAACTGTTCTTTTCTCTTATATTCGGAAAAAGGATATGCTACAAATCGATTAGGAAAAAAATCGCGATAGTGTCCAGATATGGAATGAAGTGGTCGGTTTGATGATGATTGGTCCTATTCGATTGAACTATTCAAATCGATCTCTTTTCACCGATTTTTTTGTCGTTTTGTTTATCAATTTTTATGGCACTAAAGCTGATCTATTTTGTTCATTTTCTATCGATTTTCATGGTTTCAATAGTGCAGAAATATGAACTCGAAAGCTTCAACTGAAAAATTTCCAGTCATCATCAAAATCCTAGCTCTATATTTTGAGTTCGCACTTTTTTATCGTATTATGAGAGCTTCGAATCATGCTGAATATATTGATTATAGTCACGAAAAGTTAGCCAATCGTTAGAAGTTAAATTCGGTCTAAACTAAAGATTTTCTACCCTGAAAGTTAGAGCTCATTTTTCTGAGCTGCTTTCAATCGACTGCCAAAAACTTGCAATGGCTAATGAATTTCAGTTCATACTTTCATTATAAAAATAGCACAAAAGATTTCTTACTATTGTCAAAATTATGCTAACTACTAATCTCATGCAACTGTGAAAATGTCCAAGTGGTGAAAGCAGGGGTGGCGCGACCGGGGGGTAGTCGGGGGTGCGACACCCCCCCAATCTTCAAAAATTTCTGTTTTTTTGCTCAACAAAATCAGGAAATTTTCTTCCATTTGTCACCAAAAACAATGTTACACCCCCCCCCCCCCCAAAAATTGCAGACTTCGTCTTTCTCGTCCAAAAAATTTCCCTCCCCCCCCCCCCCCCCCCAATGTTGGTTGACTCGCGCCACCCCTGGGTGAAAGAGCTAAAATATGGAGTCTAATATAAAAATTTAACTTTGTAGCTCATTGTCTTCATATCGGCAGTAGTAGCCTTTTAGTTGTGTTAAATAATAATTTCAAAAAAATAAAACATCAAACTTATCAAATCTTGTAAAGGAATCATATTCGTATTGAAGACAGTTAGGTAGAACAAAGCATAGATGTTGTTCAATACCAACTGTTATGAGTTACTTACTAAATGAAACGTTTTGAGCAGGCTCCTCATTCATTTTTAGTATTAGCATAAATTCATGGAAAAAGCTTAGAAACAACGATTTTTTTGGTTTTTTTCATAATGTTAAGCACGTAACTCCAATCTAAATAGTGATTTTTATAGCCAATGGAGTTTTCTATCTAATACACTTTATAGCAAGATTTCACAGATGAACAATGATGGCAAGACTCCTAAAAAACCTAACACGGCATTTTTAAGGTTCTAGAAGGCTTTGGCAGAGCTATTTTTGAACGATGTGGGGTGTAGGTGTGTTAGAGAATATAGGATTCGTACCCGTCCACGCCCACACCCAAACCTGGCAATCTTATACCATTCGATAGAAAATTTTGATTTCTGCGAGCCTAGACATATGATGACCCTAAGCATAGTTTCTATAGTGCGTTAGCGTTAAAATACTAGTAATTAGACTATGACCAACTAACAATATTTCGGAATAAAGTATACCAGAAAATAATCTTGCACAACCGTCATCACAGCTAAAAATAGCTCAAGCTATGTTGTACCTTTGGTCAACATTTCAGCTTGAATCTTTTGCTAGCATATAAACATTTTTCAACGTAACTTGATCCACCATAGATCCTTGGCACTAGTTCTGATTGATAAATCAACCGTATGGAAACTTGTGTTAGCTGAAAATAGAATTATAGCATCAGATTCATGCATTGTATCGAAACTGAATCACACAGAATGTTTTAACAGATAAAACAGTGCAAAAACCGTCACTCGAATTTGGAGACAGTTACATAGTAGTTCTTGCGCTAAATCAACGATAAACATTGAGCCATCCAAACCTCGAATCATTCCAAGCAATAGCTCATCTTATATCCTAATTATATTGTTTTATACTCAATCCAAATTTTCATCGTTCTAAAGCGTTATGCTGATGAGATTGGAGCATTTTACAAAAAAACATGAGCGTAATTCCTGTAGGATTAAAATGGAAACACGAAATAACTGCTGTTATTAATAGAAAAAATCTTTAACAAATGAATTTAAGTCACTACTGTAGATGCCTGATAGTCTCTTTAGTTCACCAGCCACAATTAAATCAATATCCTCCGGATTTATTTTAGTTTGTCTATAGATCCATGAATTTTTCTTTTAGTGATTTATAAATATACACAATACATCTCAACTTTGAAGTTGTGTCTGTCACAGTCTGTGAGAGGAGGAGAGGACTAAGTTTCTACCCTTAAACTTCAATACTCCTTTCAATTCGTGTTCCATAAAAAGTCGTTTAGAATTCTGCAAGGTTCTTGGCTGATACATTTTAATTCGAAATGCTGCTAGTTGACCAAAAACGAATTGTCCGTATTTTAACGCTAAATTATTATAGAAAGACCAAATAGACTGTTTTAAAAATTTTTGCAGACTAGATATTCAAAATATGTTAGGTGCCATCATAATTCCTTTTCGTAGAGCTCAAAATTCTATATTGAATGGTATAAGATGGTTGCGCACTCTGTCAATAATAGACAGAGATCTGTGAATCACATCGAAAAGTATTATTGTCAACTATATGACATAAACATTACCAATACTACTTCATAATTCTTTTTCTTGTCAACATAAAGAACCAAATTTTTGACTGTGAGATCTTCTATATAGTATAGGTTATTTTTCCGAATAAAAACATCGAAGGTCCAACTTCCAACATATGCTGAATCTATAAATAATTGTGCGGTTTTCTTAGAGAGCCTCGCTTAAAAAAGCCCACCAGTCGGGTAAAAATCATGATTTTGGCTTCTTAACCTTTGATTCGATCCATCCGAACCAACACTTTACTTACCAAGATGCAACATTTCTAGTGGTTCCACTGCGTAGTTCGCAATAATATTTGTCACCTCCATCTTATCAGCTTCAATCTGATCTGCTGCTGAAGTAGCTGATTGTGCTCCTCGTTGATAGGCCAATTGTAGTGAAGATGGAAGCAGTGTCGAGGAAGAAAGAGTTAGTTTCGGATGTCGTATTGACGACGAATTTACGGTTGTAGCAGTATTTACGGGAGTATTAAAGAAAGCAAGTGGATCTGACGTGTCCGATGATCGTGGTGGCGGTGGTGCCGGTCGTGTTGGTATAATCGGAGTTACGGATTGCGAAGACACAGGAGTCACATTTCTATTTGCTCCTCCAGAGTTTGATGGTGTAATCGAAGATACGTTGCCCCTTCCTTCTAATAATGACGTAGAATTTCCATTATAAACTGTAGACGTAGCGTCTGCTGCACGCTGTTTATCTTTCTTGTGCATATTGTTCGTAAAAGATCTAACAAACATTAGTAGTTTACAACATGTGTACTATTGAAAGAAAGAGACATGGATACTCAAAATAACACATTTTTTTGTTTATTGTCGTCAAAACTGAAACGGCATTTTTCGCTCACCTTATAAGGTGAACACAAGAGCGATTTTTCTGAATGAAAAGAAAGAGACCTTTACTGTAAGTGCTAAGTTTAGTTTCCTTGTTGCTTCAAAAATGTACCATACTACCAATATGTCGGAGGAATCTATGAGTACCTGAAGGTACTTATAAGAATTTTATGAATAATCAAACGGTTCACTATTAGGATGCTTCTAGGTCTTTACCTCATTAAACTGCTCAAACATTTGCCATCACCGAAGCTTTAGAAGCATAGAAGTGCTGGAAGAAGTACCCAAGTACTGAGACACTTTTCAGCAGACCACTCGACTAAGATTCTGTAACATATTGATAGCAGATTACTTACATAGGTACTCTGTTGGAAATTTTCTCAGTATATGAGCATCTAAAACTTAATAAAGGGTGATGCAAAGGTCTCTGTACAAATGTTTCTCCTTTTTGCTGTACTAAAACAAATTTCGGAAAACTCAAAAATGGCTAGTCAAAGTTGGTGTCAAAAGAGCTTTCTAGCTGTGTATACAAAAATTATTCTATCATGTCTTGACTTGAAGTAACCAGCAGATCTCTGAACAGCATTAAAATATGTTCTTAAAAACAGCTCGGACTAGCTTTAGCAAAAAAATCAGTTTCTCAGTGGTTTTTTATTTTCTCCTATTTGTTTCAGCGTATTTGATTGATCTTTTTTCATCATTAGATTTCTCGTTTAACTCTGGACGAACTGGGCAAGCACATTACGACATTATTGTAAATAACATATTAGTTAAATTTAAAAAGCAAAGATCTAAGAAATATCGTGAAAATTGAGCGTAACGATAGCGATGACGCCGATAAAACTTTTTCGAGATTTGAGCAGCACCATTTTATTAAAACAAGCCGAAGGGTACCTACAAGTGACTCGGAACACTGCCAAGATAAATATGTTGAACTTCGCAGTTAATTTTTCCCAATATTATCTAAAACAATGTCATAATATTTTCTGCCATGTTCGTAGAGAATTAAACGAGAAATCTAATGAAAAAATATTAATACTATACCATGAAATGAGCAGGAGAAAATCAAAAAATATTGATCTGTTTTTCCTTTACAGACCACATTTTTATGTCATTGAAAGATGTGCTCATTACTTCAAGCCGAAATGTTAATGGAACAGTTTTTGAATACACAATTAGAAAGCTCTTACGACGCCAATTTCGACTAACTACTACTAAGTTTTTAAAAATATGTAGTAGTATATGAAAAGATGAGAGACATCTATGCACAAACTTTTTCATCACCCGTTATTATTTAATACACTAAAATGACAAATTATGTATTAGGCATTGATGACTAACGAATCATTCGATGTCTTCATATCCTCATCATCGAAAAAAGGCATCGGAAACATGTAGTCGATAAAAAAAGGACAATCTATTTATAACTTCTTGAAAGTTCACCAATCATTCAATGTACCATGCCCTCAAGACGAAAAATATTCTCAAAATATATATATTCAATTAATTAAAATACATGTAGTAGGCTTATTTTCTTTTATAAATAGAATAACTAAGGCAACACATCTGTTTTGTCAAATAAACTACAAACTACATTTAAATCATATTATCAATAAACAACTTTTCTTAATTAATATATTAACAACATTTTTTATTACAAAAATACAAAATATTATTCGAATCGCAACTAGATTCTGAATTCACCTAGCATATATACAAAAAAATACAAAAACAGTCGAAGAGATAATAAAAATTTTCTTCTATTTCTCAAACAGCAATAAGATACATGTTTTTTGTTGATACCGTTAATTAAATTAAATCTGAGAAGAAATAAAAGAAAATTGCTTACTGCTGTGCAAATATAGCACTTTTTTTGTTAGGAAAATATGTTATTAGTAAATTGTGGATGTGGGCGTGAGTGTGGGGGTGGATGTGGATGTTAAGTGAAGAACTACACCCACATCGACCCACATCCACACCCACACCCATACCCTAGTAGTTTTAGACATTGAAGTTTTGAATGAGCAAAGGAATCGAAAAAAAGATTTTATCGAGTGCCTCATATATTCGATGCCCTCACGGACGCTCTCTTAAAACGCCGAAGTGTGTCTAGTAAAGGAAGAAAACGAATGATGCAAGGAAAGTGTATGCAAAGATTCAGTTTTTGAACGTTTATGCGTTGATTATTTAATACATCGAACTTGTTAATAAAAATCAGGACGAAAAACGTATTATATCTAGATTTTTAGAGAATCTAAATGCGCGTAAAACGAACGAAGTGTTAAAAAAACGACTATGCTGAACTTTTAAGTGCCCATTGATACTGGTTGAGAAATCTTTACCCCACACTCACACACAAAATCATGCTTCCAAGTGTTTACACATCTAGTCTTTTCTACACGCATTTAAACACTCGGAGAAAAGCTTTTTCAGACGTTCACATGTGATTCTATAAACTCTTGCCTGCTTGGGAAGGTCTGAGTCGAGACATTAAAAAAAAGGTAGATTTCAAAGCTGGATAAATTATGATGTCTAGCTATATATCAACAATTAATTGTATTTATTTGAATGAAACTATATAGAACACTTGTCTGAAAGTGATCTTTATTCAATCGACGAAGATCAAGATATTAACGGTTATAATACGTACTAAACCTGTCTTTTTATTGAATAATTATATTTAAAAGAAAACTGAGAACCAGTTTTTGAACAGATGAGTGTGAATTATCTATTGTTGCATCTGTTAATGAGTGATATCGCGTTCGATTTTAATAAAGTCCCTATTTATCTCGTTTTTTCTGTCTTATAATAATGACGAGACATTTTTTTCTTATTAATTTCGACACATATGTTAGTGAATTGTCTAATGTTGTTCAAACCTGTCAACACCAATATAAATAAACGGCAGTGCAAAATTAGAACGAATGAAAGGTCTGAATAACAGAAAACCTTGATGTGATAAACAAAGAATCACTAGCTCACATTTGTAGGAAACCAAAAAAAAAATACTAATTTTTTATTTTCAACCAGAAATCATAGTTTTAAATAGTATTCGTTAAGTATGTTCGTATAAATTGAGATTTACGAATAATATTTGTCATATAGCAATAGTCGAGTCATATTAATCAAACTTTGAATAATACAAAACTATCCTAAGAATGAGTCTTTTGAAGCAATGATTACATTTTATCGCGTTATTTACTTACTGCAATACGCTAGTAATCAAGAATTGTAAGACTATTGCGCAATGTGTGTGAAAAAAGCTAGGCAGGTGACGAAAATAAAATATAGTGAATAATATAAGACGAGAGCTCGTAGCTCATCCTGTCTCTTTTTTCTCTTTATATTTTTTTCTTCGTGTTCATAGAAGATAGTTATTAGTGTTTAGCTCTCTTGGAACACGCATACAAAGATTAGAGAAGAGAAAAAAGAACAGAAGCAATGTCTCGACATGAAAGTAACCAATTGTTTTCAACTACATCGAAAAATAAGCGGAGAAAAGAAAAAAAAACTCTTTCTTTCTATCCACAAAAATATTTTCTGTTGGTTTCTCACAAAAATACTTTTCCATGGTTGTCAGACATGATCAATATAGAACACATTTCTATAAAAAGAAATTCCCGTCACTTAGTAATAAGTTTAATAAAAACACAATTATTATAAACAAAAACGGCGAAGTATCTTTCGCCCTATTCTAAACGGATGCTGAAAGTGTCTCAATGGTTTTATTTATCAGAGACGCGAAAGATAGCAGTCATTCACTCGTTGTCAGTCACTTTTGTCGTTATATGTTCTTTGCATATAGCGTTGTGCGAGTCAAGAAAGACCGATATTTCTCTTGCGTTCACCTTGGACGAATGATAGGATGGCAAGTATAACTTGTAGTGAGTGAGTGAATGACTGCTACTTTTTCCATCCTTATTAACTCTTTAGGTGCACGTGGCGCATATATGCATCACGGTAATTTCTGGATAAAATCTTACTCGTAGATTCATATATCATATCAACTTTCGTAAAAACATTTATGGGCACTTTTTTTTCGTGTAATTTGAGTTATACATTCTTTTATCTTCTAATCAGCAACGTATAATAAATACAACACAACTGAATTCTACGTAAAAAATTCCTATAGTCTGAAATCCCTATAAGCATACAGTAAAATAAAATAGAAATTTTGACTTTCCAAAACATCGCAGCCAAAAGATTAATAAATATCTTTTTAATCGGCCCTTGTTAAACGGCTTGTCCGCGTAACGCGACACTTCGCTGATCAAGTTTTGAAAAACTTTTTTTTCGAGTTGGACAGATCTCATTGGACTACTAGATGCAGTTTTTTACGCTGATTACGAATTTGATATTGATTTAGCATAAAAATCAGATTTTGATATCAAAAATCGGATTTTAAAGTTTTCAAAAACCGTATTTTGGATTTTTTGACCAAGAAATTTTTTCAACAAGGGCTAAGAGACATACCATTCGATGCAGAATTAAATTCTCTACAAAATGGTCTATTTAGTTTTGACTTTGGTAGCTTAGAATGGATTGAAACCTTCGATAAAGTTTCCAACTTCCTGCCCAGTTTATAAGCTCTCAGATCGATGTATCAATCTCATTTTTGCAGAGGAGATTGTCTACTTATAAAACAGTAACAATTATAAAAATCAAGTAATTCCGAGTACACTAAGTGCCTCAAAATTGGTCAACAAAAAACTGTGTAACAGCGTTACGTTTGTTTTTTGCATTTTTTATTTGAACAAAAATGTTTTTAGAGAAAATCTTTTTTACTGCCTGAAAGTCTATTCAATGCTCTACAAAAGTGATTCTTGGAGCATTACATTTGAAGAAATGATTTCGCAAGAAATTAGAGTTTTCTCAGTGGCACTGGAAAAAAAGGGTCCTTTTATGTAACAGCGTTACGCCATGATAAAACATTTCTAGATGCCTGAGACTTCAATCAAAAAAGGTCATTTTTATATGGTAAATGAAGTTCGATAAGCTGCGTCGAATGACGTTTGAACGAACTTCCTAGCTCTTAAACTTTTCGAAAAAGTTGGAGAAGAGTATATCAAAAACGTAACAGCGTTACGTTTGGACAAGCCGTAAAACTCTTTTTCATGTGTACTATTTACGTATTTATTTATATTGCTTAGATTGTTTCTTCTTTAGACTTACGTTCCTAATCACAGTAATCTTGTATTCCTATACGATACGATTCAACATTTCAAAATGTATTCTCCATAATAACCAACGATTCACTTATACATGTTATAAATAAATCGTTTCTTTCTTGATTGGCTTTTTAAAAAATTCATTTAATTAAACATTCAAAATTTGTGGATCATATGTTTCACTAAAGAATACTTCCTATATATAAACTAAACGTTGATAAAAGTTCTTACAAAAAAAATGAATCATGATGAATCACTGAATATTCCATTTTTCTTTTTTTTGTTAAACAAAACAAATAAGTTGAGATTCAGTTCATTACTTTGTAATTTTATCTAAAAGAAGTATCCGTTGTATGTCTCAAGATCGACAAGTTTTTTTCTTCAATAGTATTCACTGCATTTTTTACGATAATATTTTTTGTATTCAATACAGTTTTATCTCTATTAAGATTGGCACTATGGTGTTCAATGAAGAAAACGTATTTACTAAAATAGTTATCGCCGAAATAGAGAATATTAATAGATAATATAGGGTGTGAGTGTGGGTGTAGGGGTGGGTGCCAGATTATCTATATCCACACCCCATCCCGAAATTATTTTCTCATGTCCACGTTGAATTTTAAATTTTATTTGTCTTGAAACATTGGTTCTTGAAAATATACAAATTAAGCATCTTTATAAAATTCTTGATAATTTAATACATTTACGTAAATTTAAGAAGAATCACTGTTTACTATTTTTACTAAATATGATTATAGTTCGATTCAACCGTTGATAATCAGTGATTGTTTTCCATTTGATTCATTTGGTAATTTATTATGTTGTCTTCCTAAACTTCAACATTTATCTATTGATTGTCTTGCTCAATACCGTTATTATACAGAAGAAGAAAATTTATCTCTTATTCAATTAAAATATTTGAAATATGTTTCTCTTCGAATTGATTATGTTGAATTTTAGAAGTTTGAAAAAATTATCACAGAGGTTTTTCATTATGTTCAAATTATATGTCTTACGCCACATTGGTAAAGAGTAATTATTATGTGCCGACGAAAAAAAAGTATCCTTGACTAGTTTTAGACAATTCTTACGACAATAATATCTTTGTCATACCATGAAGACTGATCGTGGAACTAAAAAAAATTACTGCTGAATTCAGGATGGTGAGTAACTCATAGCAGTACAAGTCTATTGACTGAAATCGAAGATCTTACTAGTATCCTATTAGTTTCGAAATATAGTTTCTTTACAGTCTCGAGCCTTCTCTCTGGTATAAGGAAAACGTCAGGTTGTCAGCTAATTCTGTTATGACATTATTCGCTGTGATAAATATGATTATGAATAGGAAAATATGGGTGTGGGTGTAGGTGTGGATATGAGAAGAAGAAAGACATATCCACACCCACATTCTGTTCATGTAAATCTTTTCGTTCATTAACAAACAATGCACGTTTTATTAAAGTTAATACTTATCTTCATTGAAATAGTCTAAAAAACAATCTAGTAAGGTTTTTTATGTTGTGTGTCAGGGGCCAATATGAAGCATTCATACTTATCAGTTCATCGTTAGCATGAAACATGTAATTAGATGTCGAGGAAGAAGATGAAATTTTTATAATTAAATGCGAGACAACATGGAATGTACTAATGGTAGAATCTAACAAAACTAAAAGAGAGGTGGCTCTTGGTTAATTTGTTGCACGTTCAATCCAGCCACCTTTTTGAAGTTTGACATCATGACTTCGAATTCTGCTGATGGAATGACATCCGACAATTGTTGAAATCCACATGGAGCACGCTCATCGACAATTTTTAGAAGTTCTTCAATGCCATATTGCCGAGCTGCTAGAACGACAGTATTTGCAACTGGACGTCGGAGATCATCGTACGCTTGAAGACCTTGAGGAGTGACACCATGTTGACGAAAGCAAAGAACAAGTCCACGAGCATCTAGAATAGCTTGAGAGGCTCCATTACTTCCATTTGGATACATCGGATGGGCAGCATCACCAAGTAAAGTCACACGATTGTGTGTCCATCGAGGAAGAGGATCACGATCGGTCAACGGAAATTTATTGATAATCATTGAAGATTGGATGAGATGATTAATATCGAGAAAGGCGAGTTTCATGTTCGATATTAAAGGAAGAAGATCTTCAACACGACCGATATTGTTCCATTCAACTGTCACTGGCGAAGTTTGGACGTCTGGATCTTCAGTTCGAGCGAGACAAGCCCAATTAATAAGATTGCTGCTCACAGGATACACGACCAGTTCAAGTTCGTTTGGATTTCCCATTAAAATCTTGGTTCGTCCGTCCAAGAAAAGTTTTTCCGTTGGTGTTACACCGCGCCATACAGTGAGACCTCGCCAGAGAGGACGATCCTCGTCGGGATATAGAATCTTGCGCACAGTCGAATTAATTCCGTCAGCACCTATGAGTACTTTAGCCAGCTCGATATTTCGATCACCCGTAGATGGATTGACAAAATCAACTTCCACATGGTCTGAATGCGATTGAAACGTGACTAATTTCTGATCAAGACGAATCGATGTTTCACCCACTTCATCGCGTACATGACGAAGTAAAAGTTGCTGAAAGTTACCTCGATGCATCGCATAGACAGGCCAATTGTAGCCAGCATATATGCCTCTCGGCTCCTCATGAATAAGTTGTCCGTGACGTGAGTAGAAAGCAGTCGTGCGTGTGCGAATACCGACGTCATCAAGTTCATGTTCGAGTCCGAGTTCGTGCAGTAATTTCGCGCAGTATGGTTGAAGAGTAAGACCGAATCCGATTAGCTCAAGTGTCTGCACTCGCTCATGAACCCGAACGGAGAAACCAGCGCGATGCAGACACAGAGCAGTGACAAGGCCACCAATTCCAGCTCCTACGATAAGCACATCGACCATATCTGAGCTTGCTTTCTTTCCATCATTGTTGCCACACGATGTGGGGTCAGATGCTTGAAATATTGTGGCACATGTATCTGTAGGATTCGCTTTTATGGCACTCATTATTATGTAGTATATCTACAAAGACATTCATAATTTACAAGCGAATATTGGACAGGTATAACCTTCTCGATAAGTGACTGTTGTGCCGCAGCTACTAATCATTTGGCTGCTTCTGAGTATTCATTCTAACGGGTGGGCAATAAAGAATTATACTGTTAGTATTTTTGAAATTTCTCTTCTATTATCCTTGTGATTAAAATACTTTTTTTTAACCAAAAGATAGCTCTCGAAATTCTCTACCAATCTATATATGACTAGATTCAAAAACTCATGTAAATATATTTGAGAAAAGACAAAAAATAAAGACATACAAAAAACTGTAAAATGTAAATATTACAACGATGATTATGAATATCACATCTGTGTTTTGATAGATGTTTGTATAGTTTTAGCTTGTTTTTTGTTTGTGCGCCCAAAGAATCGCAAAAACCGAGTAGACTGTATAGATCTCAACCTGCTCTACAATTATTCTCACAAAAAGATGATGGAAATTTTGGTTAGGAAAAAAAAATTATAGGATCGAGAAGAGTGATAGCACCACTTTCTTTCAGAAAAGGTGACATCCTCAGTGTGGGAACATCATAAGTTTTTTCTTAACGAAGTTTTGACCATCTTTTTGTAAGAATAGTTGTAGAGCAGATTGAGATCTATACAATCTACTATGTTTCTACGATTCTTTGGGCGCACAAGCAATAAACAAGCTGAAACTATACAAACATCTATCAAAACGTAGATGTGACATCCATAATCATCGTTTTAATGTTTACGTTTTACAGTTTTTGAATCTAGTCATATATAGATTTGTAGAGAATTTCAAGCGGGTGTGGGATGTGGGTGTGAGTGTCGGGTGTGAATATGTTTCATTTAAGTCCACACTCATACCCACACCAACACTCTGAAACATTGGTACAACATTTTTTTCGTGATGTATCAATATGAAGTTAATTAATTTAAGTTGTATTTTCATTCTTACTTTGAAAAGTGATCTTGTATTGGTAATGTGAGTAATTAAGTAGAAATGAAAAGGGTTCGTAGTTTTTCATGCAATTATCATGCAAAAACGCACATGTTAATTGTATCTCGATGCTTATCAAATAAATATTTGCTCTGAGTGCGAACTGAGATATCACTTATTAAAGCACTATTTTCTCTTCGCCTCTCTGCGATAAGACACACAATATGTCCATTTACACCTGCTCGTCAGTAACAACTAGAACAAGTTATTTTTATGGTTTCAATAGAAGATGACGAAACATCATTTCTTTTGCCTTGAATTAAAGTTTACGGATAGGTATTCCTATTCGTGAAGGAAATACTGGCATAGATGTGCATAGGATATGAATGTGAGTGTGGGTTACAGTGGACAGAAACAGGGGCGTCAAAAGCAATCCCCAGTTGCCAAATCGCTTTTGAATCGAGACTATGTGCGTTATGTAGGCGTTAATGAGCTATGAACATCCTGAAAAAGGTTCGTGTTTATAGGTTATTTCTGTCGAGGTTTTGTGAATGATGCATAAATAACATATGACTGGAGTATACATGGAGTATTATCCTGTTGAAAGTCTATGATGTAAGGTAAACTAGTATGAAGGAATGTGCTTTAATATGCCTAAAAAACAACAGCTTTTAGAACATCGAGTATAGCAGCTACATCGTGTTTCACATTTTTTGAATATCGCAAGGGATTTCGCTAACAACTTTTTAATTTTTATGGCATTTTTTAGAAAAAGCCGTGGTCTCCCTCAAGTTCACCTGAAAAATCCATTTTCGAATTTCGACTTGAAACTTTGCCCAGAGAAAGGTCTCAATAAGACTAGTTTATTCTGAGAATTTTGAACTTTTGGGTTCCTTCTATCCCATGATACGAGTATAAGGAAAAAATATTCTTTTTCATATTACTTATAGCACAAAATGTTAAATGTTCATATTTAAGGATAGGAACAACCAAGAAATTTGAAACTTTCAGGATTAACTAGTCTCAATGAGATCTTTCTTTGGACAAAGTCCCAAGCCGAAATTTCAAAGTTGATTTTCCACGTGATTCCGAGGAGGACCACGGTGTTGCACTACAAAATACCATAAAAATGAAATATCTCAACAACGATCCAATGGTGCATCTTTGCGCATCCGCTGAAGATAGATGATGATATGCTCTACCAGATAACAAACCAAAACTTGAATTATAGTTCAGAAAAACTCCGAGAAACGAACTGCATTGCTGGCCAGCAGCTATTTTTCACTATACAGGGTGGATGTAGAGAAAGGGACACCCACATCCGTCAAAATATTCACTATTATTAATTAGGTGTCGATATGTTATGAACAATCACGGATTATTAAGCAGTTTCAAGAGCATAGATGGGTAGAATATATAATACACAAATTTTTCTTTGTCATTTTTCATAGTACGAAAAAAAAATGTATTCTGCACATTTTTAAAAGACACGTGTGCAAATAAAAAGAAAGAAAAAAAAGAAGTTGGAAAAAACCAAGTTTTGATGTTTGTCAATACATGTTAACCATCAATGACTTAATTTATATTTATTAAGAGCAAATGCATTTAATGAATACTAAACGAACTTTTCATCAAGTGTAAAAATATAATTTTATAATCGTCAAGACATATACTCAATTTTTACAATTGTAATAACAATCATTTGTCGTTCTTCTTTCCTACTATACTTATTCATTATTTATACTGGGTGTTCGAATATGACGCGTTTGATAACAAAAGAAGAAATTGATGAATCAAAAAATGTTTTTACGTTTAATACCGATGAAGATCTAACAATAATATGGTTCGATGATAAAATCGATGACGAGATAAAAACTATGTTAGAACAATCACATGATCATGTAAAAATTTGTTATTCATTTGACGAAATGATTTTAACTATAGATAACATAAGAAATGAAAAAATTATTTTAATTGTTGCTGGTCGATATTCTCGTGAAACATTATTTCGAATTCATGATAACGATAAAATCGATACAATTTATATATTTTGTTTAAATATTTCTTTATATCAAGATCTTATTGATGAAAAAAAATATTCTAACCTTCTTGGTATTTATACAGAATATACATCTTTATTTAGTATTTTAAAACAACAAATTTATTTAATATTAAAACATTTATCTATATTCAATTTAATTAATAGTACTGATAAACCAATACGAGATTTAGAATATGAATCGTGTAATTATTTATGGTATCAATTATTTCGTGATACATTAATGACAATGCAAACAGAAACTGAACAATGTAAACAACAATTAATTGATTATTGTCGATCATATTATCGATTCAATAAAAAATATCTCGAAGAAATTGATATATTTGAACAAACATATGTATCATCTGATGCTATACGTTGGTATACAAAAGATTCTTTTTTATATCGATTCGTTAACAAAGCTTTAAGAACTGAAGATATTGAAGCATTATTTCGCTTAAGATATTTTATTAAAGATATTTGTAAAAACTTAAAAATATTATTCGATGAAAATTTTGAAGTATATCAAGAATCACTTGAATCAATTGTAGTTTATCGTGGTTTAACATTACCAATAAAAATTATTGATCAATTGAAACAATCTGTTGGTAAGTATGTATCAACAAATGGATTTTTATCTACTACTTTTAAACGAGATGTTGCTGAAATGTTTGGAGCAAATGTTATTTTCGAAATAAATATTCAAACTGATTTAAAAAATATTATTTATGGTTACATAGCAAATACGAGTTATAATCTTTCGGAAGATGAAGTTTTATTCGATCTTGGTGCTATATTTCAAATAATAGATATGCAATATAAAGATAATAAATATATTATATCAATGATTGGTATTGATAATAATATTGATTACTTAAAAAGTGACTATTTTCAAATAGAAAGAGAATATTTACAAGATAATTTAATTGATAATATTCTTTCAAATATAAATGCATATTCATTTTTTGGTAAATTTTTATTAACAATTGGTTCAAATAAAAAAGCAATTGATTATTTTGAAGAATTATATAAAAATAATCTTTCTAATAATAATGATAATACATTAAATGAATATGAAACATATATACTTACAGGAAATTTAGCTGATGCTTATGCTCAAAATGGTCAATATGATTTAGCATTAAAATATGCACTTATTTCTTATGAAATACATAAAAATTTTCATAATAATTATTCAGTATCAATAGCAGTTAGTTTATTAAGAATAAGCTTAATATATTTAATCAATGAAGAAATTCAATTAACTTTTGATTATATTCAACAAGCATTTCAAAATCTATCAACGAATGTTAATTCTCAATTACTTGCTCCAATGCATTTATGTCTTAGTAGATGTTATTTAAAACAAGAAAATTATTCTGAAGCTTTAAAACATTGTCAAAAATCATTAGAAAAATTTAAGGAAACAAAAAATAGTATTGCACTTAGTGAAACACATTATACACTTGCTGAAATTTATCGAAAACAATGTAATTATAATATGACTATTGATCATTATGAAAAATGTTTATCAATTCAAAAGAATATTTATTCAAATTATCATCCATTATGTATACGAATATATTTTAAGCTTGCTGAAATTTATAACATAATTGAAAAATATGATTTATCAATTTATTATTACTTACAAATACCAAATAATAAACAATTTAATGATGAAAATGAACACATTGACATGTTACATAATCATCTTGCATGTTGTTATCTTGAGTTAAAACAATATGATTTAGCTATTGAACATGTTAAATTTTCATTAGTAATTAGTGAAAAATCATTAGATATAGAGAGAATTGAATTATCATATATGTTAATGGGTGATATTTTTGAAAAGCAACAAAAATATGATTTAACTCTTGAATGTTATGAAAAATTAGTTAAAAAGTCAATTGAATATAATAATTATGAAATCATGAAAAAAGCACGTTTAAAATATATATCAACTATGACATATTTAATTATTGAAGAATATGAAAGGAACTTCGAAAATAATATGAAAATATTGTCTGAATTTAATGATAAATACTTATTTAATGAGAATTTTTTTATTTTTGATGATTTTCAAAAAATTATTTTGTCAATATCATTAATATATCTAAGATTGAAAAATTTTTCTTTAGGCATTGAATATTTGCAAATAATATTAACAAATATTGAAAAATTATTTGATCATAATGACAAATATCGAATTATATTTTATTTAAATTCACGAATAGCATGGTTTTATGAAAAAGATGAAAAATATCATTTAGCTATTAATCAATATAAAATAATTTTATCGAAAATAGAACATCTTGATAATCAAAATTTAACAGTTCATATTATTGATGAAGCAGTACAATCTTTTGAATCTATTGGTCAATTGTATTATCAATTAAATGAATACAATTTAACTATAGAAAATCAATTAGAAGGTTTAGAATTCATTAAAAAAATTAATGATAATAAATATCAACAAGAAATATTTGATTTTAATTATAGAATAGCAAATTGTTATGTTGAATTAGAAAATTTTGATTTAGCTCTTGTTCATTATAGAAAATGTGTTGAAATTGAACAACAGACAACTATTAACGTCGAAGAATCTGATGAAAGTCTCTACATGTATGAATGTGTTGGTAACTTCTATTATCAAAATAAACAATATGATTTAGCTATTGATTCTTATAAAAAAGGTTTAAATATATTACGAATAACTGATGATCCTGAATCACCAATAGATATTGTTAAATTCAATTATAAAATTGGTTGCTGTTATAATATGCAACAAAATATGATTTTATTTATTGAACATTTTAAAATAGCTTTAGAAATTCAAGAAACTAATCAACTTAATTATGATAAAATACAAAACATGGATATGAATTTTCAATTAGGATGGTTTTATCAACAAAATCAAAAATATGATTTAGCTATTGAATATTTTCAAAAAATGTTGAATATTCAAGAAAGTTTAAATATTGATGATAAGTCTTATATTGCTGATTCATATGTTCGTATTGGTAAATGTTATGAACAAAAATCGATGTTTGATTTATCTCTTAAATTTTATGAAAAGGCTTTAGAATTATATAGTATAATTATTGAACCCAATAATTTGGAACAGAAAATAATTGCTGATATACAATGGAGAATTGGTAAAATCTATCAAAATCAACAAGATTGGAATTTATCTATAGAATATTATCAAAATAGTTTAAAATGTCTGAATATTTTGAATATAAAATTAATCTTTGATCTATATTCTAAACTAGGATTTTGTTATCAACAAATATCTAATAGTGAAACTATGGCTATTGATTATTATAAAAAAGCAATTGATATTAATCCATATAATAATTCTAGAATAATTGAATTCTTTTATCAAGTTGGTATTTGTTATCAAAAAATAAAAGACTTCTCTAATGCTATTCAATATTTTAAAATTACATTAGAACAATTAAATGAACAAGCAGAAAAAGATTTTGTTAAAATACTTGATATACATGCTCAAATTGGTTTTTGTTTTTGTGATATAGAAGACTGGAATTCATCTATGGATCATTGTTTATTTGCATTTGAAATATATCAAGGTATAGAAATGTCTAATACTACTCTTATTTATCGTTTATGTATAACAATTGCTCATTGTTGTGGCCAAAAAGATATGTATAATTTAGCTATTGAATATTTTGAACAAGCATTAAAAATTCAAGAAGATACAAATAATCATAATAGTGATAAAAAATTTGAAATTATTTATTTAAATAATCAGCTAGGATATTGTTATTTTATGTCTAATCAATATGATATGGCTTATCATTATTATGATAAATCTATTGAAACAGCCAAAAAGTCATCATATTATACTCAACATTTTTCTATGATTGATAATTATGAAATGCTTGGGCATATTTATCTATATTATTGTAATAAAATTCTTGCTATTAATTGTTTCAACAAAGCATTAAAATTATTAGAATCAACAGAACCAACTGACTTAATAAGACTAAAACGTATTAGAAATTCATTAAAAAAACTAAAATACAATAACGATATTGTAATGATTGATGTGAGTTCTTTGTAACAGTCGCTGTAATCTGATTACTAACCATTGAAATATACTATTCTTTAAAATATCAATTCTATTAATACAGGAATTGTTTTTTTAATTTATTTTTCGGCCAAAAATTAAAACTTAGAATGAAGTTTTGATTGTTGAATAGAGAAAAATTGAAATCCGGTTATATTATAGTTGACTGATTCGAGAAGTACTGTATGGACGCTCCTTTTCGATCTACATAAGACCGATATTCCTAGCTTGTTTCGCTCAAGACTTATATGACTTTTTCTAAGACTTGTGAGTTCCGCCAATTGGATTAGAGAAAAGCTGATACGCCATGTCAAGTCAAATAATTAGATCTGTTCTTCGGTTTCAATTAATCTGACGTCGTTGTGTAAATATTTTTGAAATATCCACTCCGTGTCGTTATGGAAAGATAGATTCTACACCTTGACATATTTTGCATACCACTGTGAGATCAGTTTGAACATCAAACCAAATATTAGCATGGCGAATCAACCTTTCTCTAACTCTAAGTCAACTGACTGAAATCAGGTATCTTAGAACAAGTCTTATAATTCTTCAATGAAATAAGCTAGGAGTATCAGTCTTATTTACAGGGTGGTCCAAAAGTCACACACCCGGGGAAAAAATTGAATATTTCTGTTGCGACTCGAACAAATGGGCTGGCTTTTTCACCACTAATAAATGTATGCTCATACTTCATATCGATAAAGACGAGGCTAGACAGATCATTTGTTAAGTATCAATATTGGCTTTAACAAAAAAAAAATTAATTTTGTCACAGATAAGAGAAGAAAAACAATACACTTAACAAAGGATCTCCCTAGGGACATCTTTATGGATATAAATATTTTCGTCAGATATGTAAGATTCTCAATTAATAAAAGTCTTTCCTATTTAACTCATTTCGATTTATAGGAATTCCTTGTGTTCTTATTAATACAGTCTTCTATTTTCATTCAAATGGTATCCTAATATTAGCATGTAAAAAGTTACATAGACCACAACAAGCAGGGCAGGCCTAGACAAAGTAGGCCTGTTTTATTCTCTGTTATAAATATCTCGACTTTCTCACTTTTTTTTCGTTTTATACGACAAAGAGCAAATCTAAAACAATCAATACAATGGAAAAAACCAAGAAAATTAATCATTCAAGTCTTATCAATCTTCATTGTCTTTGCTGGTTTTCAATTTCCATGGACAATGTTACCATTATGTGGTCTACTTGGTTTATCATTAAATTCATTGGAAAATTTGAAAAATTACATGTATTTCTTTTTCTATTTGTTTGCTTTGGAACATTACCTGAAATTGAAAAAAATTCTCTTCTGGAAGCAACAAAATCCAAGAATTGCTTCTAATTAAATATCACCGAAAAATAATCTAATATCAGTGTATCCCTAAATTCTCTTCATAATAAACATCTATATAGAAATCTACTCGAGTTTTTATTGCAGTGATGAACAGAGCGGTACAAAAATATGTTGTAACTAAAGTGGAACAAATGCAAATGAATCTAAATAATCTTGTGCTGGTTTATTTGCAATTATTTTGGCATTATTGCTTAAATCAAATGTGACAATATTTTGTTTGTCTAGACCCTCGACAATCATTGTAAAATAATATCCTTCATGACAAGCACCAGTCGATGGTAGATAATCTTTAAAATCTTTCGATAAAATCTTCATCGTACCATTATATGGATTTAAACGTACTAAACGACAGCCACGTCCTGTCTGGAAACTCTGCATACCATAAAAAGCATCCGTTTTATTATCATAACATAAATAATCTGGTAAATTTGAATTGGTTATTTCACTGATTATTTTTCGTTTAGTGACATCAATACCAACAAGATAATCAGAATCATAGGGCACTGTTACAAAATATTGATGATCCGTTGAATTAAAAAAGATTGCCATGGAATCAGGTTGTACACCACTGGCTTTGGTTATATTTACCCATCGTTTCGCTATAAAATTACTTGGATCTATCTGAACGATACTTATCGGACTTTCAAATGCGTCATTCATTTGTACGGAGTATAATTTTCCTGTACTACTATCAACACGTAAACCAAATAGTTCGCCATCACTTTCTGTCGTAATTGTTCGATATTTTTTTGTGCCATTGAATGGATTAACTATGGCCACTGACAATGCTGCTTCGTTTTCTAACGTTGCTTCACTACCAAAAACATAGAAAATTTTATGAATAAAATCATAAGTAACATCGTATGCTTTGTAATTCGTTAAAGGTGTGAGAAGTGTAAATTTTCCGCTTAATGGATCAATTTTGAATAATGAGTTCGATGGTGATGCAGGATCATACGATGCTCCGAGTAAATACCCATTTGGAACTGTTTGTAGAGGATTAATAGCATTGAAGATGAAGTAAAAGTATAGGAATAAACATCGTAAAGAAGGAATCATTGATCTAAAACTCAACATTACAATACAGATTGATTGCAAGAAGAAAAATTCTATGTTTTATACAGAACAGTAGACTTGAGAACAAATTGATTCATTTAGAAAAAAAAGTCGCGACAAAAACGTTTGGTGCATTTATGAAGAAACTCGATTCAGACCATTTTATATTCTCAACTAAATTTAATATAATAAAGAAAAAGAAAGATGATGTTGTGTTTAATAACTGATAACAATAAAATGAATATGCTTTAGATGAAAAAAAACAACAGAAATGCGATATTTTATCATTTATCTCATTTTTGAAAGAACTTTAGTATCAAAATAACATTTACTAGCTGTTTTCTGACTGGTGAGCTCGAAATTCTTTCATAATGAATCTTTTTGATCCCTTTATTTTCTATATTGTGGTAGTAAACGCAGACTCCACAGATATATAAAAGTTTTGTAGATTACACGGATGATTGTAGATATCGGTTAGAATTGAACTGGAAGTATTTGATTCGTCTCTCACATACATTCACATCCCCAAATTAGTTTCTTCTACACTACACATGCAGCAAAGATAAAACACAAACCAAAACTATTTGGAAGTCTGAATTTAAGTATATAAGTTTGAGTCAAACTCTGGAATTAGATATAGGTTGAACGTAAATCCTTGTGATTTATTCAACTTGAAGTATTGAATAGGGATCGTTTGGATCTGATATCGAAGCTTTCATCCTCTGAGACACAAAAAAATACAAACTCAAACTTATGCAAACCCAAAGAATTTGAGTTTAGTGTGTGTGTCTATTCCATACTATACATCATTCGTATATGTTGTGTTATGACATTGTGTTTCTCTCCTTCGATGATTTATGGTCACGATATATATATTTTCAATCTTTCTTTCCATTCCTTTTTATTCCAAAACATCTTGAGAATGTGAGTGTGAGATTGTTAATGTTCTTTCGGGATACATATATTTACTAAGTCATATGAAAAAAACACTTCATCGAGTAAATATATAAAATATTCCTTAGCAAAAAAAAGATGTACAAGTAGTGTAGCTCAGTAGAAGAGCGCTGAATTCATAACTCAGAGGACGGTAGATCAAAACTACCCACTGCTATCTTAATTCTTTTTTGTTATTGATAGATCTTGGATCAGAATACTCGGTAAAGCATTTATAATACTTTCTTAATAACATTATTGATCGATCAATGATATCATTGAAAACGATCATTTTGTTCGTTTTGTTGCTTTTTATATTCATAATATTTGTTATAAAAAATAATTAATTTGTTATTAACTAACTATCAACTTCTTAAGTTAATTAGAACTATGATATACAGCAAATAGTTCTTTTTTTCTTTCTTATCGAATTTATATGAGAAGAATATGACGAATTCAATTGCGCAATTACTTGCAAAAATCTTTTTTTTACAAAGTTACATTTTTTTTTAATATTAGACGGTGCTATGAAAACCATCTGTATTCGAAGATTTGAGTAGTGAATTATATATTTCCATATTTGAATATTTCTATGTAAATGAATTAATTGAATCGTTTTATAATTTAAATCAATTTTTTAATTGATTATTGATTGATTATCATCTATGATCACATTATACATTAATAACTGATCAAAATAATCTTGGGTGGGTGTGGAGTGTGGCTGTGCAAGCATATAATACCTACACCCACATCCACACTCACACCCTTCATATATAGAAAATGTAAAACAGGCTTTGATGGCTTCTAACAATCTTGCCAACATTGAAGAGCAACAATTTATTCGACTATTTTTGTCACGTAAGAGGGCTTGTTTTTTTTTCGTTCTGTTACTTCCTCCGCGTCGTCTAGATCCTCAAAGTGTCAAGGTAAGGTAAGTTGGAAAAATGCCTCCGGTCGTTTGTTTTTTTCTCTTCATTTGTCATGAAAAAGAAGAAGTACAACAAATGATCGATTTTTCGATAAAAAATACGACACAAATGAAAGTATATAGTAGAATTCGTAATGCATAAATCTAATTATAAGAATTAATTGTTTCCACTATTTATTATTTTGTAAAGTACAATATCTTCTCATACAACCATAACATAAAAACATGTTATAAATTTTAACATTTGATTCATTATTAAAATTATTTATATACTTTTTGCTTGTCATTATTTGAAAGATAGACAGCTCTTGGTTGCATTTTAGAAAATCATTGACAACAAAACTAATATAAAATCATGATTTATGTTAAAGTTACTTGAAAAAATAGAAGAGTAATCGAATGATTTTTTTGTTGACTTATTAAATGAATTAATGTGTTTACAAACCTGCTGGACTGTGATAAAAACTGTCGGGCCAAAAGCTGAAGAATATATTTCGACGAAAAATATATCACTTCCTTCTGCCCAATTTGGACATATCTTGGAAAAATAAATTAACACAGAATCAGCATTATCAAACCCGATATTGGAAACTTCCAAATTTCATTCAGCAGAGACTCTATACTACAAAGGGATTGTTCTCTAACTCAAAATAAATACTTTCGTACTTCCAAGGAAATAAGCTTTTTCCTAGGTGTGGCGACTTCCAACCAACTACTAGATGTATAAAAAGGAAGCTTACTTCTAGTGAAATAATATCACATACCATATCGAGCTGCAATCAGACAAAATAGGTAGGAAATATTTTATAGAATAAATAAATATTTGTCTCTATATATTCGTACACACAGGTTAGACAGCTTCTTTAGAAACTCTAGCACACGCCATGTGCATTTACTGGACGAAAATCTAAGACGAATGTATGTTTGGTTTTTTTGTCTATGGTGCCAAGCATTTAGCTCAGTTTCAGAAAAGCAATTTGAATAGTCAATGCAGTTCTGTATGAAACTCCTTCCATACGGAAATTTTATAGATAGACTATGAAAGGAAGCTTTCAGATCTTAGACGACTATGTGAGAATTAGTTTCTAAGAACACTATTTTAAAGAACACAAAATGTTGGAGAAAATGAGGGGTTACCATATTTCCTAGGACCTTCCCTTACAAAAGTTATACGCATCACAAAAAAATGAAAAAATATACCTTTTGTTATCGACTTTTGGCAATGCTATTATAGTGTGACTCAGTTATATATAATATTCTTCTTTTCTTTTTCTCCTATTCTGCCCTCGTACATAGATGATACGTATGATATACATATATATTTTTATATAGTTGTCGTTTGGAAAATAAAGATTAAGATTCAGTATTAATTTATTAGATCAATCTTCCGTTAACAAATGCTATAATAAATTTCGTTTTTTTTTCATTTTTTGTGATGCATATAGCTTTTTAAGTAAAGATCATTAAAAATGTGGTAACTTCACGTTTTATCCAGGAGTTTGTGCTGTTTACGATGATATTCTTCAAAATTAATTTTTACCCAATCTTCTAGGGTTTGAAAACTACCGTGCTTAGTTTTGCAGAAATCTTCTTTTCATAGTCAACCTATAAAATTTCGCTATGGAATGAATTTCATAGAGACCTTCATTGATTATTTACAACACTATTTGAGATCAGCTTAAGTGCTTGGTATCGTAGAGAAAAAAATGAAAAATACATTAGTGTTATATTTTTGAGCAGTACTGTATGTGACATTTATTTAATGTGAAGTACTGAAGGAAAACATTTGAATCAAAATCGCGGTCAGCTATGATTGATTTGTACTGACCGCGGGTTATTTTCTAACTAAACTTTCTGATTAAGACTGTGGTTTTGCGTGCTGCTGTCATATGAAGTCTCGGTGTTACGATAAAAATGTTTTCGAAATGTAAGAAAAATGTCGTGACCTTTTGGATCGAATAGCTATATTTGGATTCATATAAACTATGATTTCGAGTGTCGTTATAAGGAAATGAAGCACAAATTTAAAAGGCTCAGATACCTGTACTATTTGTGGTAGATAACTTCCAAATGCCGTTCCATTTGACGAAAGGGATTTAATGAATTTTAAGTTTTGAATTTAGAGATTTGTGGAATACACTTCTCCCACTCACACGTTACTATCTTAAAAGGAGTACAATACGTGCATATACGTCAGAAAAAAAAAGATTTCATGGACAATAAACAAAAGTAAGATCTATAACGAGGCTTTTAGTTTTTTGGAAGTACATAGCATGTTCATGAGCATAAATTAATACAAAGATATTACGCGAAAAACGAGAAGTTAGTGTTCATTGCCAATGGCACTGGAAGATATAAGGATGTTCCTATGAATCTCATACTTGTTGGTGTGTTATTGCTCTGAGAACTGTTGTAATTTCTCCGATTATCCAAGTAATCGATATATCGTCCATCTAATTTATTCATTCGAATTCAATGCACCATAGGATTAAGATAAGACGCTGTTTAAAAACGCATTTTAAAACAAACTTGATTCAATAAAACTAGTCTTATGTAAGTATTTTCATGACTAGGATTTTTCAAAATACAATATACTCCAACACTGACATTGATGGTGACGCATTTTTATGTACATTGTATGCTTCTTGCAATTTTTTGATTGTGGAAGATTACTATGTACTAACATATATATTGATATAAATATGTTTAGTGATTACATAAGTGACGTCACACTTCAACATTTATATTTACATAAGATTCATAGGATCAAATCTCACAATAAGAAATTAAAAGATACGTAAGACTTTTGTAATTAATTGACAAGTGAGCGAGATTATTTTTTTAGCACAAAGAAGCTCATTTGAAATTAGTCTAATGCAAGAAACAACACTGTTTTATTTGCTCTATTCATTGCTACTCTTTGTTTTGAAAATAAAACTGAACATTTTATCAGAATATAATAGATAAAGATCGACAATTTAATCTAACTCGTTCAAAATCTATAAAAAACGCAAAAATATTCATAGCGAACATATAGATGTTCAGGAGAGTTCGATCTCCTCCCCTTCTCTTCTTTATCTGCACGTTCTTTTAGATAAGCTCCTTATAAAAATAAATTTAAGAAAATTTGTATATGGAAGAGAAGTTATTGAATAAGTTGAATGTGTCAGAAAACTAGAGAGAGTAATTACTTTAGGAAATATTAGAGTTTTTTTTCAAAAACTATTGATAATAGCGGTTATCCAGGCGAATAATTTCAATACCCAGTCTGATTGGATCTACTCAGATTCGATTAGCCGATAGAATCCGAAGAAAATATACCTGCTAGAATCGCCAATACATCTGACGAACATCTAATGATAAACAACTGCCGAAACACGTAAACATTTCGACTGTCAGGTTCCGATGTGACTATTGTAAGATTTTACTAATCTTTTTAATGCTTAATGACTCTTGCCTTTTCTGATACGATCGTATAGTTCAATGCTACCGCAATTTAACCATCGAGTTTCATAGATTTGAACTGTTGAAATTTGGCGTTTTCATGTAACCTTCCAGAGTTTTTGTTCTTTTCTTTGGAAACTTTCGGATTCATGTTTGCGCCCGTCTCGATAGATTTAATGTGCATGACGGATTAGATATGCGTAGACATTCTCATTTTTATATACGGTATTGCTTAAAATTATAAGAACAAGGTATATTTGATTTCTCGATTTTCTAAACTACGGTTGAAATAAAAATTTCGAAAGTCAAAAGCTACAATTGTTGAAAAATATCCATTTGGAAAAGTATTTATGAAGATGTTATTGACACATGATTAATGTTGGATTGTGTTCTTCTGCTTGTGAATCGTATCTTCTCTTGCACCACATCCACACTAAACATCTAACAATGGTCGAGACTTATGTTGAGATAATGATTTAATTAGTCTACAAATAGTTTCTTTGTATTATTTGCCTTTATTGAAAAATAGCTAGTCGAATTTTCGAAGCGTAAGTAGAATACTACCTTAAATATATGTATGTACCCCATTGGTGATTTATTAATATTATTTACATGAAAATATCTACGAAGAAGAAAAATGAGAAAAACATAATATCAGAGAATCAGTGCTTCGTACTTTTCATGTTCAAATTTAATGTTGAATCTTATTAGGAGACATTTCTTTTCCTGTTATGTTGCTTGTTAAAGGCAAATTCTGTTGCTTCGTGTTGCATTTTTTGATAATCCGTCAATAGAGTTGCTCACTAAGAAAAATGCTTGAAATGCAGCTATTAGGATGTATTAGGATGAACAGTTTAGACTAAAGTTTTTTTTATATGAACTCTATTGAAAAGTTATGCTTATTCATATATGGAATCAATTGTATGAGTTCTGTTAATGAATATATCTCAATGAACATTTTTTATGATATAAACTGATATTTATTATTTTCGAGATCTGAGAGATTATTCTATTACGTACTACATATTTTATTTGAAACTATATGTTTTAGAACAATTTGTGTTATCTATAAATAGAATATGTCTGACACAAATGGTGAAAATCTCGCAGAAAGCGAGCGTAAATATAATGAGTGGTGTGATGAACAAAAAAAGGAAGAGGCTCGTGCAGAATATGAAAAAATGCAACGTATTATTCAAGAAAAATTGCTTGAAGAACAAAAATCTATCCAAGAGGCCAACAACGGCAAATAGTCTCAACTATTCAACGAAAATTATTAAATCTCGGACAGAACATAAGCTTTATTAAGATCTCGTTTATTATCAAGCATACACATACATCTGTGCTCTATCAATAATTTTTTTCTTTTTTGTTCAATCATTGTGTAATCTATTCAACTAGTCTCGATTTGTGTTCACTATATTTTATGTTATTTTCATTCAAACTTCCTTATGTAAAATTTGAAACTATATGAAAAATATATTTAGTGACACGATCAAAGTCTTCTATAATGAAGGGCCAAATTTTAATGAAATAATCTGAATGAATATTTTCTGACTATTCGATAACGTCATTTATTTTCTATGAAATATTTCTCTTGTACTATTTAGTTCATATTCATGAATTTATTATTATTCTCCTTCTTTTTGCATATTTTTCATTCCAACATAAAGACTGAACAATATTTTATCATAATTATACTTCTTATCATCAAGTTTCTACGTAGGTCATACTGTAAAAATATTGAGATTCATATTATGTTCATAGTACAGAAAGCTTGACGGAGAATTTTTGTTCATAGGGTTTGAGTGTGGGCGTCGTTTTTCTCACTTTCAGCCACACCCACCCTTTAATCACTTTGATTGATTTTTAATGTATAGGAAATTTCGAATTTTTCTGAGATTCCAAGGTTTCGGATCCTTGAGTACGCATAGCAGGGGGGGAGGGTCATATGGATGTGGGTGTCAAGGTAATCATCTCTTCATCTACACTTACATCCACCCACCCACACCCTCCACTCCCACACCCACACACTCACCCACATACACACCCACCCACACCCATACCCTCACACGCACACA